CTTAACCACTACACCACCAGGCCAGCCCCTCAACCCATTATTTTGTAAAAAAAATAGTTAATGGCTCAGACTCAGAATAATAAGTCACATCCCCCACTACACCTCCAGCCAGGAAAAATTAAAAAATAGATATGGCAAATTACCACATTTCACAAAATGCCCTTTTGTTCATGTTTAGTCTTATTTTTACATCTTCAAAAGGGGGTTTCCTTTTAATAAGACGTTATCTAAAAAGAAGAGATGACAAGCAGTCTATGCAAATAGAGAGTGTTAAAATAAGCTTCAAATAACTTGCTCAGGAAGACTCCCTGCCTGCTGATCTATAGTGCACGCCCCTTCTCCTCCATTTCCACAGAGGAGCAGAGGTAGGTTCTTGCTGAGTGATAAATATGTTCACAGATAACATCACCAAATCCTTAACAATCTGGAGTGAAAAATGAGGCTTTAAAACAACATTATGAACAACACAAGAAACATTGAAGTAAAGCAAATAGTATCTTGGAAGGGGAAATGCAGTGACTAAATTCCCAATATTACAGCATGTTGTTACAACAAAAATATTTGAATTTCCGCAGAGCTCTAATGCCATGGGATAAAAGGATCTGCTCCCAGCCGTGACCAATACAGAAAAATCAAACCTGAGAAGGTAACTGCAGAACATGCACTGTCATCTCTTCTATACATGTTCTCATCAGCATCAGTGAATGTTGATTGAGTTCTCAGAGAACATTTAGCCATGCCCACAAACATTTGCAGTAATAGACACAGAGAAGATCCAGTCCTTTCCCGCTGGGACATTTAATTCAAAAGGAGCAAGATATACAGCTCATTCTCTTGCTATAGGCTGATATCACTTTTATTTTCCTTTCTTCAACGTGGAAATTCTTAGCAGCCACCCTCCAAATAAGAATTAAATTGATGAGATTTAAATGTGTCTTTGCAGAAATGGAAAAGAAAGCAAGCCTGATGATTCGGTACAAAAATGTTGGCCCAGCTACAGAGAATTTACCAAATCATGAATTGTAGAAGGCGAACTGGGTCATGAAATCAAACGCCAGGGATACAGGCCAGATCACATCTGCGAAAAGACAGGCTCTTTCCCTTTCAGCCTGAAGTATGAGGCCTCTGTTGATCTTTTTGTCTTTATAGACCCATGAGTTCAGAGAACTACTTCTCTATGTTAAGAAAAGCTACTGGCAAGTCTGATGATAAATGATACCCAATCCTTGGCCTCAGTGTGGGGAGTACATACAGCAGAGCGGCAGGAGTGGATCCAGGTTTCGTGAAGTCTAAAACTTGTACAATTGTGGAGGCCTCTTTAAGAAAGAAATACAAAATTACAAACACAATATTAGGTCAAGGGCCTTGAAGTAGCTGGGCCCTGACGCTTGAGTTTCCTTATCTTTACAATATATGCACCTCTGCTCCGTGTCTCAAGGGGACAGCCTCTCCTCAACTCCCGCTGACTGTTACCCTTAGGGAAACCAGCCAGAGTGGCCAGATCTTCTGATATTTTAAAAATAGCCAGAAATCTGGATGCTTATGGGAAGTTTCTCTCATTTTAAAATATTAACAAGAAATTCAAATTTAAAAAAAAAAACGCAACCCTTTATAAGACTCAGCCTATGGTCATCACTTTGGCACCTCTGGCAAATTGAGTTATGCAGTAATGGGGTCAAAAGAAGGTTGTGGCCCAAATTACTCAGTGCGCTTCTCGGCTGCACGCCCTGGTGTGGGCTGACTTAAGTGGAACAGTAGCCCACGTGTGAAATGCCTCGAGCTTAGATAATGGTTTGGGGTGAGGTGCTTGAGAAGAGGGTACAAACATAAAGAAAATGTTAGAACAGAGTGGCAGAAGGAGATGACAGATGGAATGTGGGAGGAGAATGAAAAACTACTTCCAGACCCCTTTCTTTGGAAATAGATTGAATTACGGCCCCTCGCACAGTGATCTGACAGCTGGGGAGCGTGGAAGACTTGAAGGCAGCATTTCTCAAAATGTGGTCCACAGACCACCTGATCCTGGAATACCTGGTGTGCTTGCAGGAATGTAGATATCTCATCCTAACCGCTGAAAGTCCTGTAGAAAGTCTGTGTGTGGGGCCCAGAACGTTCACTTTAACAGGAACCAGGTGATTCTTAGGCAAAATGACACTTGAGAAACACTGGAAAGATGGTTTGTTTTTTTTTTAATCTAGCCAAGAGCAACCTATGGGAATGGATGCATGTGGAAGCTTCCGGACTTCCAATTACCAGCATTGGTACTTTTGGAAGGTATTAGTAAGCTATCTCCAATCATTTGCTGCCTTCTTTGTGGCCTGTACATTTTTAATTCTGATCCTGACTAATTCTCCAAGCTGCCAGCCAGAATGAGCCACTGACACTTTAAGAACACCACGTGAGCCAAGAAAGCCAAGTCCCTGAAGATCTGACCCTCTGAATTCTCCCTTGACATCCTTGCTGACACATTGCAACCTCAGCTGTATTCTGTTGACACTTAGCAGATGAAGTGTCTGGAAAACCCAAGGTCTGCTTTATATAAATTACAAAATGCTTACCAAGGACAGTGTCAATACGGGGCCTTCACATTAACACATTCTTGATTAGACCACCTTTGTAAGTCTTGTGTGAAACAAACGTCCCCATGTGTTTCTGTGCTACAGTGAGTGTGTGTACCTGTGGCACACAATCAAGGACACCCCCTTCTCACAGTATCTCCGCTGTCCTGCCGTACGAAGTTAGAGCCCTTGGGTCTTCTCTAATTAGCATGAAGAGTTTGACATCATTTGTGTCTATACTTGTTTCTCCATCAGAATTTTAACTCCTTAAGAGTAGAGACCGGGGCCAGCCCTGTGGCATAGTGGTTAAGTTTGACTCCGCTTCAGTGGCCCAGAGTTTGCAGGTTCAGATGCCGGGCATGGACCTACCCACTGCTCATCAAGCCATGTTGAGCCAGTGTCCCACATACAAAATAGAGGAAAAATTGGCACAGATGTTAGCTCAAGGACAATCTTCTTCAAGCAAAAACAGGAATATTGGCAACAGATGTTAGCTTACGGTCAATCTTCCCCCCACCTGACCCCCAAAAAAGAGTAGAGATCACATTTTGTTTAATAAGAAGTCAACATCAACTAATTGAGAAAAAAGCTTAAATGGATTAAGGGCTTAGAAGAAGGAAAGATAAAGTGAGATAGAGGGGAACTGAAAAGCCAGAGTAAAACCCGACAAAGGCAGACACTGGGGAGGGGACTGTCGGGCTCATTAGGGCTCTTTATTTAAAGAATCTGAGCCTGAGACATGACAGAGCCCACACACACAGGTACTCTGCATAGCAGTCCAGCACTGCAGATTTAAATCTTAAGTCTTTTCCTCACCCCTCACTGCCCACTGTGTCCTCCTTAACACCCTGTGTTATTTTCTCTAGACTCACTTATTAGCCCTTTCTGCTTAACGGTTATCTCTGTTCCTAGCTTGACTTAGTCAAGAAGTCTCCTGTTCTCCTCTTTCTCCTTCTCCCCTGGATAATTATAGGAGGAACATCCAGGTAATACCTCCTAGCTCAACTTGCTTCCAATGGCCATCACCCCTGTGTCCTGTCAAGTCATGAGCAGGGCCCAGATGGGGATGGGTGGGAAGTGTCAAAAAGAAACTCGAGAAGGGAACGGGGAGATGGGAAGGATATATCACGGGTGTAAGGTCCACCCTGACCACGCCTACACCTCAGTCAAGGAATAATAATAATAATACTGTATTATATTTGGGAATCACTTTCCATACGGTGAAAAATGACTAGTTTTGATGTCCTGTGTTTTGATTAGCAACTTGAATAAATGATGCTCCAAGGTCATAGTTTTCAGGCTGGCCAAGAACCTTGTGAAATGGTGCCAGCTCTCTGATTCTCGTTATGGAAGTAAAAAAAATACACAGTTAATTCAGACTTTTAAGATTGACCATCCTTGTCTTATTACCCTCTTTTCTAAATAATTTCTTTTGGAAAAAAATTTAAATGTTTATTTTCACCTGTTCCCCTCTTCTCCACGTCTTTGCCACTGGCTAGCACTGATGTCAACGAGCAAATGTTGTCACAGTTTCCTGACTGGTGTCTCTGTCCAGTGTTGGCTGCCTTCAATCCAACCTCTGAAGTAAGGCCAGAGTGAATTTCTAAAAGTCTGACCTGATCAGGTTGTTATATTCCACATTTTCCCTTGCCTAGTGGTATGAAGAGTATTACACCTTTTAAAGAAATTGAATCTTTGATTAAAACCTTCTCTCTGAGGGGCTGGCCCCGTGGCCGAGTGGTTAAGTTCGCGCGCTCCGCTGCAGGCGGCCCAGTGTTTCGTCGGTTCGAATCCTGGGCGCGGACATGGCACTGCTCGTCAGACCACGCTGAGGCAGCGTCCCACATGCCACAACTAGAGAAACCCACAACGAAGAATACACAACTATGTACCGGGGGGCTTTGGGGAGAAAAAGGAAAAAATAAAATCTTAAAAAAAAAAAAAAAAAAAAAAAAAAAAGAAAGGAAGAATGATATTTATAAAAAAAAAAAAAAAAAAAAAAAAAAACCTTCTCTCTGAGAAATCTTCAGGTCCTTATGTCATTGCTGGTAAATTATTCTAAACTTACACAAATTCGTCCAGAAAATTTTTTAAAGGGCATGGGGGACATTTCCCAACAAATATTACAAGGCTAGAATGACCTGGATATTGAAACTTGATAAGACCTTTTCAGGAAAGGGAAATTACAGGTTCACCTACCTCTCTCATGAACATAAATGCAAAAAATCCTAGACAAAATATTAGCAAATCAAATCTAACTACAAATAAAAAGGATAATTAATTAAGTTGGGTTTATTCCAGGAATGTAAGGTTGGTTTAACATTAAAAAATCAACCAGTTAACCATATTAACAGATAAAATGGAGAAAAATCATATGATTATTTTAATGAATACAGAAAAAAGGTTAACATTCTTTTTGGTTTTTTAATTTTTTTTTTTTAGGAAGATTAACCCTGAGCTAACATCTGCTGCCAATCCTCCTCTTTTTGCTGAGGAAGACTGGCCCTGAGCTAACATCCGTGCCCATCTTCTTCTACTTTATATGTGGGACGCCTGCCACAGCATGGCTTGCCAAGCAGTGCCATGTCTGCACCCGGGATCTGAACCGGCGAACCCCAGGCCGACGAAGTGGAACTTGCGCACTTAACTGCTGCGCCACTGGGCTGACCCTAACATTCTTTTAAGATAAGAAATTATTGGCAAATTATGAATAGAAGGCAACTTTTTAATCTAATAAAGTATATCTACAAAACTGTGGAGCAAATATTATATTTAATAAAGATATATGGAAATTGTTTCCCTTGAGATGAAGAATGTGACAAGAATTTCTGCTATCACTACACTTATTCAACATTTTATTGAAGGTCCTACTGGCCAGTACAAAAGGCAAGATGAAAAAATAGAAGGTAATAAAGATTGAAAAGTAAGAAATAAAAGGTTATTTACATATGACATTATTGTATATCTAGAAAACAAAAAATAGTCTTCAGATAAATTAAATATATATTGGAATTAATAAGTGAATTTAGAAATTGGATGGTGCCAGGTTAATATACAAAAATAATTTCAGTTTTATATACCAGCAAAAAACAATGAAATTCTAAAAGAAAAAAGATACCACATTCACTAACACCAAAAATCATCAAATGCATGGGAATAAATCTAATGAAAGATATGGGAAAACCTCCAAATAAAGCTATAAACACTGTTGAGAGAAATTAAAGAAGACTTTTATTTAACAAAATAAACCATTAACAGAAAGAAAAGGCAAGCCACAAGTAGAAGATTCTGGAGTTCATATATCCAAAAAAGGACATATTTAGAGAACATAAAGATATCCTATGAATAAATATGAAAAGGAAGTAAAACCCAATTTCAAAAAATGAGCAAAAGACTTGAATGGGCTCATCACCTATGAAGATAATCAAATGGTACATAAGCTTTGGAAAAGGTGCTCAATCTTGGTATTTATTAGAGGAATGAAAATACAGTTAAATACCACTAAAATCCACAGAATGGGAAAAATATAAAAGGGTGAAAATAAATGCCTTAGTGAATATTTGTAGCACTTGGAACTCTCATGAACTGCTGGTGAGAGTGTGAAGTGGTACTACCACTTTTGAAAATTGTCAATCTCCTTATGCATACCCTATGATCTGTTGATTCTACTCCTTAGTATACAACTAACAGAAATGCACACATATGCACATGGCTGTTCATAGCAATACTATTTATAATAGACAATGATGGAAAACAACCCAATTTATCAGGAATAGAATAAATTAATAAATTGAGGTATGAATATACTTCAATTTCACAATAGCTGAATCTCACAAATATGCCAAACACAAAAAAAGCACATTCTATTTATTCTTATTTACGTAAAGTTCCAGAAGAGGCAATACTAATCTGTCAATAGATCAGAATAGCTGTGAGCTTGGGGAGGGGTGCAAGGAGAATTCTGAGGTATTGAAAATGTCCTGTTTCTTGGGCTTAGTGATGATTAAATGGATTTTATCATTTCCAAAAACTTCATCAAGCTGCATGCTTATGCTTTTTGCACTTCTCTGTGTTCATTTGTCTCGGTCAGTTCAGGATGCTATAACAAAAATGCCATAGATTAAGGGGCTTAAATACAAACATTTATTTCTCACAGTTTTGGAGGTTGGGAAGTCTAAGATCAAGGTGCCAGCAGATACCGTATCTGGTAAGAACTCTCTTCCCGGTTCATATATGGCCACCTTCTCACTGTGTCTTCACATAGCAGAGAGTAGAGAGCTCTCTGGGGTCGCTTTTATAAAGGCACTAATCCCATTTATGAGGGCTCCACCCTCATGACCTAGTCAACTCTGAAGACCCCACCTCATAATACCACCACACTGGGGATTAGGTTTCAATTTATGAATTCCAGGGAGGCACAAACATTCACAGACATCATTAGACTTAATTAAAAAGAAAAATAACACTTTTTACAAAGTCACCTCATTTGACCACTGGAGGTAATCGATAGCTTTGGTAATTGCAGTGGGTGGAGATAAGGGGGTAGAAGCCAGATTGGAGTAGGTTGCAGAGTGAATGAGTAGTACGAAACTGGAGAGAGAGTACGTAGACAACTCCTGAGAATTTTGATTAGGGATGAGAACAGAAAAATAAGACAGATATGCAGAGAGTCATGGAGGGCTCCTTGCTATGAGTATTGGGTTTTATTTTTCAAGGTGGGAGATTAGATTAGAATATGCTTGTTTGCTGACTCTTCCTCCCACTGCATCACACATTTGATGCTGGAGGAGGGCAGCCTTGGGTGGATGGGGACAGGTGAGCCAGAGGAGGCAGCTTGGAGAATTGTGAGAATGAAGGGGTAGCAGAGAACAGAGAGCTGTTGGGATGTATTTCCAGCAGCCTCAAAGCTTTTTAGGGGAGGGAAGTCTGGCTGGAACTTCTTTTGAGAGTTTTAGTTTCAATATCCTATTAAGTTTCCTTATCTTTCTTTCTTTCTTTTTTTTGAGGAAGATTAGCCCTGAGATAACTGCTGCCAATCTTCCTCTTTTTTTGCTGAGGAAGACTGGCCCTGAGCTAACATCCGTGCCCATCTTCCTCTACTTTATATGTGGGATGCCTACCACAGCATGGCTTGCCAAGCGGTGCCATGTGCGCACCCAGGATCCGAACCGGCGAACCCCTGGCCACCGAAGCGGAATATGCGCACTTAACTGCTGCACCACCCAGCTGGCCCCTAAGTTTCCTTATCTTTTATTCCATGATGGAAGTTTTGCTCCAAGGTTATTTAAAGACAAACAAAGCCGGAGACCTGGGACATATTTAAAAAAAAAAAAGGGCCAGCCAGTGGCGCAGCGGTTCAGTGTGCACGTTCTGCTTCAGCAGCTCAGGGTTCACCAGGTCGGATCCCGGGTGCCGACGCGACACCACTTGACAAGCCATGCTGTGGCAGGCGTCCCACATATAAAGTAGAGGAAGATGGGCATGGATGTTAGCTCAGGGGCAGTCTTCCTCAGCAAGAAGAGGAGGATTGGCAGCAGATGTTAGCTCAGGGCTAATCTTCCTCAAAAAAAAAAAAAAAATTTTTTTTTAATTTTAAAAAACAAAGGACATTTCCCTGGGGGTAAAAAGTGATTGGAAAGGGAAAGAGGTGGGGAACTCTCTTGCCTCTTGCCTCCCTTGAGGTTTTCCAAGGATGGACCCCTAGGCCGTGCATTCCATGAGGGCAGGGGCTATACCTCCTTTGGGCTCTCTATCATATCCCCACGGTGTAGCACAGGGCTTAGAAAATAAATATTTGTTGAAGGAATGATTGAAAGCCCTACAGATACTCAGTTGACAGGCAAGTCATCTGGCTATGGTCACGGTGAGTAAACTCTCAGGACTCCTCAGTCCAGGTGTTGCACCCTCCACCCTGAGTGGAGAACCATCCTCCCCATCTGACTAGGGGGTCTCTCTGCCTAAGCCCCCTGCCTTGAAGGATGGTTCTTAGCCATTATTGCAGATAATTGTGGAGATGGATTCACCATCTCAACCCCTAACTCATGCTTAAATCTTTTGGATAACGCTCTTCTCTGAGCAGCTTAGGTCAATTAGAGAGGCGAACTTCCGCTCTGTTTTATAGGTACCATGCTCAATAACATCAATCCAAACTTGCAAAGGATTTTTGCAGCACTGCTGAACTAGAAGGCAGTTATTACAAAACATTTTGGATATTAATGATAAAAATATTAATAAATATTCATTGAGCATTGCCTATGTGCCAAGCACCGTGCTCAGCATTTTACTTATATTAATTTTATGGGGGACTATTAGTATCTTCAGAACAATGCCATAAGGTAGGAGTATTATCCATACTTTACAGACGAGGAGACTGAGGCACAGAAAGGGAAAGCCACTTGCCTGAGGGCATACACAGAGTGTGGTTTGATTCTGGGCTCTGAAGGGGTGGGGCCTCCCTCAAGTTGAGACCTGACCCCCAACCCTTCTCTACCATAACTGCCCCTATACTTCCAATGCTGTCACAGTTGTTGGGAGCCCAAACTGTCTACTGGTCCCAGGCAGTGGGCAGGGAGCTCTCTGGAGAACCCGTCTTAGGGCGACCAGGGGAGTCCTACTAATAGTATTTTTTTTATATTAGTTCACAGAATTCATCTAAGGAGAGGTCAATAGGCATAATGCCTCTAAGGCTAAAGTCTGCCATGATCAAAAGTGTGCAAACAGATTAGGTCCTGATCTTAGTGTTTGAACCTATTTCCTCTCATACTGACAGTAAGAATTGACTTTTCCTCTTTATCTTTTGCCAAAACAAAGATTAAAAATCCCAGCCACCACAACTTTCAAAAGAAGACATGTAATACTTTTAAATGAAAGGACACTAATTCCAAAAGAAATATTAGTCCCCTCAAAGAAGATGACAGCTTCTTAGACTTTTAGGGTGTCCCCGAGCACACTCGCTTTTTTGTTCCCAGTCCTGCATGCTACCAGAGGCTGGCACTCTGCAGGGGACCAACGGGGTCTCCTGTCACTGGGATACCGTTCGGTTTCTTAATTGGGTCACTGTTATGGGCTGAATTGTGTGCCCCCCAAATTCATCTGTTGCAGCCCTAACCCCCAGTCCCTCAGAATGCGGCTGTATAGGAGATAGGGCCTGTAACGGGATAACCGAGTGAAGATGAGGCCATTAGGGTGGGTCCTAATCCAATCTGAGGCGTGTCCTTGTAAGAAGAGGAAATTCGGACACAGAGAAAGAGACACCAGGGGCACACATGCACAGAGAGACCACCATGTGAAGAGTCAGCAAGGGGACAGCCATCTGCCAGTCAGGGGCCTCAGAGGAAACGACCCTGCTGACACCTTGACCTTGGACTTCCAGCTTCCAGAACTGTGAGAAAATAAATTTCTGTTGTTTAAGTCACTCACTCGGGCATTTGGTTGTGGCAGCCCCAGCAAACTAGTAGGGTCACTTCACTGATCTCTTCAAATA